CTGCAACCGGGAATGTGGTTTAAATGGCATGAAATACATATTATATAGGAAAGACTCCAAACCTTAGAATAAATTAATCACCTAGATAGGTAACGAATCTCTTCTGGAGAAACAGGAGAGTAATGAGAATGGAAAGCAGGAAAGTGGGATTAAGAAAAACCAAAGAAGCACTGCCATTTTGGGTCAGACGACAGTTTCTTGACCCTGTCCCTAAGGTGTCTTCTCCATCCTGCTGAGAGAGGCAACGGTCACAATGTGAAATTGCTATTTTGTGTTGCAGCTGAGCTCACTGCACTCTCAACAATTATTTTTAGCTTTCTCACAATTGACCCAACTGTTGACCTGCCCCACAACAGACCAAATAGGCAGCAAGATAACAATACTTTGCACTCCTAGTGCTTTTCATCTAGTGATATCACAAAGGTGGCTGAGAATTATTTCCCCTTTTTCACACCTGGGGGTAAATGAGGGACCCAAGGAGGCTGTGATTTGCCTAAACTCTGTGTATATTTCTGTGTCTCTTTTTTCCCCATTCCCTTTCTTACGCCTTTATTTGATCTCTTATATGTTTTCTGTGGAGCTTCCCTTTGTTTTCTGGTCGTTCCAGTTTCCCCCTCTATTTCTCTACTCACCATGTTCTGTGGTATTAAGGCCCAAATGCAAAATCTGAGTAAAGAGCCTGAATATTCTTTGTGTCCCTTCCCCCAAACATTCTATTAGCAGGGCATGGAGCGCCAATTCTACTGCTCTGTGGCTACTACTACAATCCATGTGCTGTTATAGCATTTATTCCTGCTTCAACTTACCCCCTAACACCTACACAGTTTTGGACAGTGAATCTATGCAGTTGGGCATCCACTGGCCATACACAACTGGACAGCAAGCATGGGGTTGAGCCTCTTAGGAGCAACTCAGTTGGCCATTCAGTTCCCTTAGCTGGTCACTCAGTAGCCTGTAAACCCCATGTACTGCAGAACTGCAGTGCTTCTGCTAATTTGGCGTCCTTACATGCCTATGGGAGGCAGGTTTGGTTTCTCTAGATTTGTGCATGCAACTCTCAATGTCAATTGTATGTGTATATGACCAGGGGAATACAGATTTGATCTAGGTCTCCCCTGTTAAATCAGTAGACATCTGCTTTCCTCCCTCCTTTTTCAGTGGTGGTGATCATGGGGTGTAACCAGGACCCTACATTTAAAAACAAGGTAATAAAGTAGCCACTCTACTAATAGATGGTCCAAAACCAAAGGTATTGTGAAGTACTGTCAGTCTTGAAAACGAACCTTGTTATTTTATCTGCAAAAATTCAGGCAGTTAAATTGTTGTTTTGGATGGCATAAAAATAAAACTTCAGCAGGGCTAGATCTGCCAGATTTGTAGTAATATAATTATCCGCACAGAGATGTTCTGAAAGAACTTGTGTGATGGGAGAGCAAAAAGCTAGATCTGAGCTTTTATGCCTTTGCTCTATTGCCTCTATCCAGAGCTGCCTCCTTCCTTTATTACCACCCAAAAAAACACACTTTCCAGATTTCAATTGCAGGACACCCTCTGCTCTGCCTCATTGAGAGCTGAAAATTGTCATCATACATCACTGTCAAAGCAAAAGAGAAAACGGTTGTCAGCTGATATGAATTTAGCAAGCCTGCTTCAGCTAAAATGAGAAAAGATTTCCCAGCCAGTATTTGGTATTCACTGCTTAAAGGAAAACTGCAGTTGTCCGTTATTATACCCATATTTATTTACAAATACCTGCCACTGTTTCAGCATTTCTCCATTCTGTGGTGCACCTCTGTGTGGGGCTGTTATTTTAATGATACGTTCTTAACTGATGATTTTTAGTTACTGACTTACTCTTTGGGATTACAATATCGGATAATGATCTCACTGCACATGAAGGGGTGGGGGCTGTTGTCTGGCTTGTTGGAAAAGGTGTGTGCCCCTTTAAGCACTAGAAAGCCAGCGAGTTATTTTCAGCTGCTGCCGCAGACCAGGTCAGCTAACTTATTCCCTCTCCCCCCAGTGACTGAAAGAGGTGGGGGACTATATAGGTCCGTGCCGGTGCATGAAAAGCCCTCTTTTATCTGAACCAACCAGAGCAGCACCTACCCTCCCACCCATGGAAGTAGTGAAATACTGGGTTTTGTCAGGATCCACTGTGGGCATTGCGCTAGTCACGCCTTTCTCGGGGGGGGGGGGTGTCTGCAAAGGAACTTGCCCCTCACTGCCAGATTGGCCAAGGTGAAGTGTTTTTTTTACCTTTCCCATAGCAGGTGGTACCCCAACTTTTCCTCTTGCCCCCCACTTACCAATAATGGAATGTGCCACGCTCCCCCGGCCAAGAGCAGGAACAGAGCCAAAGCGGAGCTGGGGGCAAAGCAGGGCTGGGTAGTGCTCCTTCCCCCCCTCCCCCAGGGACAGGGCCCGCCACACCCCCGGATGTTCCTCTGTGCATCTCTAGGGGGCACGCCCCACAGTTTGTGGACCACTGCCATTGCAGGTTCAGGGGGGCTTAGCTGGGAAAACATGAAAGGAGAATGGTGTTGCAACTCATTATGTAAACATTGGGGAGATGTCCAGTGCAAGTACTCCATAGGCAAGGGATACAGTGATTAGATAAAATGGATTAGTCAGGGATTTAAAGGACGTATTCCTTAAAGGAGCAGAAACAGGATGGGGGTTTCAGGGCTCCTATGACTGAAACATCAGGGAGCCAACCTCTCCTCCTTCATAGCCTCCCCCCACCCTCATTCGAGGTGTGTGGGGGGAATGGTGAGGTCCCAGCAGCAGCTTGGGTGGGGACCAGGAAGGGGCAGGGCTGATGGAAACCCCCTGGGGTATACACCTCTACCCCGATATAACGCTGTGCTCGGGAGCCAAAAAATCTTACTGCGTTATAGGTGAAACCACGTTATATCGAACTTGCTTTGATCCGCCGGAGTGTGCAGCCCCGCCCCCCTGGAGCGCTGCTTTACCGTGTTATATCTGAATTCGTGTTATATTGGGTCGCGTTATATCGGGGTAGAGGTGTATATTGAAATGATTATGGAATCATGTGCACTGTACACTTTTATCTGCTGGCTATTCCCAGACATTTAAGAATAAAATTGTGCTCTGATTAAACCACATCCAATGTCCTCCTTCTGGCATAGCTAAACAAGGAGTTTTCCTTTAAGTGGTTGCTCAAAATAAGAAACAACTGCAAGAAACTTTTTATTTGTACTAGTGAAATAGACCCCTTGCCCTACAATCTATGCAGTGGCTTTTTTGATACAGCTCTTTGGGGGCAGCGGGGGGAGGGGAGGTTAAAATCTCATTTATAGGAAATGTGTTACTTTCCCTGCTTTCACCTGCAATAGCTACTCTGTCCCGTCCATTCCTGAACACAAACCAACACAGTATATTTTTAATGTAAAAATGTTTTTCACTATTTAGAGAAAGTACTAAAAAAAAAAACCCAACCCACAATGCTTGAAAATTAACTCTGTACAACTCTATAAATCTGTCTTTGATGGATGGATGCCCTTTGTGTTATACATGTGCATTGTACCCAATCCCTAATATGTGCTGAAAAACTCATTTTGAAGTCGGACTTGAAAGTGCTCAGCACTTCATAGGAAGCATTTGGAACCTTGTAGATTCAGGCTGTATCGTAGGAGCTTTAAACACTGATGAAAACTAAGGTCTTGATTCTGCAACCATTGAGGTCAATCAGAGTTTTGCCATTGATTTCAGTGAGAGCAGGATCAACCTCTATAGCCCCTGTCCTGCAGATCTTATTCAAGCAAATCTTTACACTTCAGTGGAAGTTTTCCCCCAGAGTATGGTCTGTAGACATCCGCTCCTAAACAGATTCTTCTTTAGTTCCTGCGGAAAGCTGAAGGAAGAGATTCATTTTTTTTTCTAAGATGACATTTACCTCCAGTTAATCTGTATTTTTGTGTGTGTGTGAAACTACTGGTACGTGCATAATAAATATTCTATTCACTTGAGATTATAATTGATACCCTATTTGCATTTTTAACACTAGGATTTGGAAAGCTCTCTATCTAGTGTCAAGAAGTTATATTTGGTCCTTTATGCCAACATGGCTATATATATATATATATATATCGCCTTAAATCTTTTGTTCCTACTTTAAAAATAAATAAAAGCACAGCATACATTTACAAAAAGATTAAAGTGCTTATGCACATACACAGGCCTGAAACCTACCAGGACCTCCACATAGGCAGAGTCCTGCTCTTTGCAGGATTGGGGCCGTAATTGGTACAAACAACAACAATTCTAGTGCAAATTACTGCTTCTGCTTACAAAGCTCATCCCTCTAGTAAATAAAGAGCCCAACCCTGTAAATCCTCCATGTGCAGAATTCCTCTTGAATTCCATCTCCGAGGGCCTGTGAATTAGGTCCAAAAGTAAAATTGAATCAAGGTACCTTTACAAACAAAGCCCTTATTGATTGCCAGCGAATATATTCATCACAAAATATATTTACCATACATGTACCTCCTGTCAGAGCTATGTGGAAGTAGGACCTTGAAGAGAGTGGCCAACAAACAAACAAAAGTACAGGGACTCCACATTGTAGGGGCGTGCGGTGTCAATTTAGTGCAATGGGCAATAAGGTTCCTTCAATGTGCTGCTTCCCACTCTAATGTGCAACAATGATTATTAGGTTTTGTCTTAAATATATTTTCTCTGTATAGGTGTGAGTGTGTATATATATGCATATCTTGCATGGGATGAAGGTTCTTCAGGTATGACTGCTTCATCTAGGTCAGGTCTTTGTCAGATTAGCTGCTGTTCATTTTAATCCTTCATTTGAGTTCAATAGTATTTACAAAGTTTTGTGCTTTTGAAGAGTTCCAGGAATTGGGTGATGTCTGGTAGAACTTCCCCTAGTGTTCTACGGCCCACGATCTTTTGGAAAGTGTTCTTGGTCATTTTGAAACTGGTAATGAAAGAGTTTTGTATTTCCTAATACAAATATTTTTTTTTTATGGCTCTAGGTTAAAAGCTCTTAACAGAACATCCAGATCACCCAAATTAGCGGCTTGAAATAGTTCTGGCTGGTCCATCATAGACAGAGCGATTCTGAGAGCTGCCCAGATATTGCCTGAAATTTCCGGCTGGGGAACCTGCTGTTGATTCCTGCTTTTTCTTTGCAAACTGAGAGCAGTGAGAAAATTGCTGACAGCCTCTCTGTGGAGGGAGGAAAGAAAGGCAACATCCGCATATTACAACATAATCTCTTTTGTTTAAAAAATAAAGTATATTTTGTCTTCCTTCTAAGGCATTACAGTAAAATCAAACACATTATCTGACAACATGGGAGACCACAATCTCTTTGTAGTATTCTTGCTTGATCTGCCTTTAACAATTCTGGACAAAAGTGTTGCTGCAAGACTTCATTGTTATGTATCAAAAAGGCTGCACTTGTGTAGTGATGCAGAGATGAACCTACTCAAGTGCCTGGGGAAATTCTCCTTAGTGTGGTTATGAATTCCATTATACATGTGCCTTGTTATCTTAATTGTATTGTTGACACTTGGGACTCTTTTTACACAGACCTGGATTTTACCCTTGATTCACACAGAGAACCTGGTCTGTGTATGAAATGTATATTGAGCCATAGACTTACAGGAAAGGGATTTATGGAGAGAGACCGTCTTGTTTTATGATCTGATAGGCGTGTATGGATGATCCAGTCGTTTGAGTACTGACTTGGGAGACGCAGGTTAAATTCCCTGCTCCATCACAGATTTTCTGGATGAGTCACTTAGTTTCTCTGGACCTCAGTTGCCCTTCTGTAAAATGGGATAATAGCACTTCCCCATTTCACAAGGGTGTTGTGAGGATAAATACTTAATGACTGTGAGGTGCTTGGAGACTGCACTGATGGGGCCATATAAAAACCTAAGATAGAAGCGAACAAGGCTGGCTGGCACACCAGTCCACTGGCTAGGCATTTTGATGGCAAGCATCAGCCCGGCCCCTTCCTGGTCCCCACCCAAGCCACTAAAGGGCAAAACCCCCACTTTCAAATAAACCAAGTGCCTAGAATATGCATTTAATGGTAAATGGGTATGTGGGACTTTATTTCCAGGAAATAAACCAAACTGTTTGGCTTCCTCCTGAAATAATTACAAAAAGGAACATAGTAGTCCTAAAGGTTCAAAAACCAGAAGACAAACAAATAGAACCCAACATCTTTTTTTTTAATCTCCTGATTTTTCTTGGCATCTGACTCATGATTTTTGAATGGTTGGGTTTGGTTTGGCAGTATACTGAAGGGCTATGAGTTTTGCCTTTGAACATACTCCAGGATCTGGCCCGAAATCACTGTTTTGAAAGCTGTCTGTACTGTGTAAGTGTTACAGAAAATTAGGTACTGTACCGTTCTGTTAAGACACCCCTTCCCTAGTAAGGGCTTGTCTAGATGGGGAGTTATTCTGGAATAATTATTCCTGATTAACTGCATGTGTGGATGCTCTTATTCTGGAATAAGAGAGTCTTAGGGCTTGTCTACACTTACCGGAGGGTCCGGCGGCAGGCAATCGGTTTTCTGGGATCGACTTATCGCGTCTAGTGAAGACGCGATAAAATCGATCCCTGATCGCTCTGCCGTC